TTTTCAAGATATAAAGATGTTATCAAGCTGTTATATTTTACTTGAATAATATCATAATTATATACCTTCTGTTCTAAGCTGAGGAATCCTTTTCACTTCAGGTAAACTAAGCCACTCTTTCATTTTCCTAAAAATGTCCTTTCCTAGCTTCATCTCGTTCCATGGTTTGGGTTTWCGCAGTATATCACTTAATGTCCCTTGAGATCGTTTCAAAATCTTCTTYGCAAACACTGCCTGTGGTATATGATAACGCCGTAATTCATCTGTCAGTTGCAATGCGATAGCTTTRGTGTCAATCCACTCATCTTCATCAGTTGGAATCAACTGTTGATTAGAYGTATCTCTTKTAGATTTGCTGTCATTTTGTGGAGTACAGTTGGTGGTACTATTAGGAACGTCTTCTTGCAGTACTTGATTTGCTGTGCTGACGCTGCTCGTCTCAGTGACCTGACTGCCTAATTTTGACACATTGTTACTCTGCATGGCTACAGCACTTTTCAGAAACCCGCTGATCTGCTCTAAAACTGATTGTTCAATGACCACAAAGCCTCCTGGGATTKGGTTTGAGTTCTCTCCAGTCTCGTTAGTAGTGTCTTCTTGCATGTGTACAAGATGAAGATTTTCGCCACTGAAAACTGGATTAATGTCCACTTCGTTTGCTGAAACTACACGAACCAGGTCGTTTACATTCTGTGGTTCTTCTACTGTTGCATTTTGAGTTAAAGATGTTGTTGAACATGTTACTATAGGAGAATTTAGTGGAGTTGAAATATGTTGGCCTTCGGTTGTATCCTTAGAAGCTTCATGATTAGTATTAGAGGTTTTGCTTCGAAGTAAATATGAACTTTTTTCTATGTTTCCTTTACTATTCGACGTTGTGTTCACCTCCTCGGAGGCACCTAGTGCAAGGTTTAAAAGTGGTTCAATTGCGGATGAAGCGACGGCATTTTCTGTGGAAACTTCGACACTTCCCTGGCTCGATGCCATAATGATGGTTCCACGACACTGTTTTCCAATCAGATAGCCAGAAAATATGAGAGATGAAGGGCTCTAAAGGGCGAAAAATTTCCTCAGACTAATGCAAAATATTTCATTATCGGCCGCCATCTTGTCTCCTTTTGAAAAACAACGATGCTRAGCGACCAGGCCTTCAATACCATATATGGTATTCAGATATTTTTAAGTGATTTTTAATTTTCCACATATTTTTTGCCATACATTTAATAAAATCTAACAGCTATTAGTGGTAAGTTAGACCTTCCTTCTTAAAAGAGAGGAAATAACCTTTTCAATATTGAAAAACAATGTTTAAAACATTTTTGTTGCACGARCGCTGTACAAAAGCATCRCTGGCTCAAAAAGCTCAAAACAAAATGGCTGACGAACAGACAACATAAGCTAAAAGTKGAGCMAGAAAGCATTTCTTTTCTGCTCACAAAAATGTCTGATGAYCAAGAAAGGCAAGAGGAAGATGTAAAATCTCTCAATAGTCATGCAGTATCACCTGTTCGCTTTCAAAATAGGACAGGAAGACGTGTAAATCTAATCTGGGTCGACTTCAATGGAAGACAACGCGTGCAATTTGAGCTTGAATCCGAACAAGGAATCAACTTTAATACATATGTTTCACACCCTTGGAGAGCTGAGGATACAGAAAGTAGGAACGAACTTCTATTGAACTTTTATGAGACTTTTTTTCCGCCTAATCCAGAAGTTGCTCGTATAGATATGAGGCAGAGAAGAGCAKTGGTCAGGCGACTGAATGTCAACATCACCACACCAGGTGAGTTACAATATTTTGGACTTTCACATGAATKTGTTGTGATAATCGCCAGTTCCTGGTATATTTTGGTTTTTATGTAAACTTTTTGTTCATAAAAATGTATTTATGTATGTTTCCAAGTACCATTTACTTACATGTTTATCAATGCTTGCGAGAATCAGGCTTAAAAATAGTAGTGTTTTTATTTTTTATTTATTTATTTATTTTTTTTACAGTTTACAGACTCGAAAAATACTGTCGAGAATCAATCAAAAGACTTGTTCGAAAGGATAAACTGGTTGAGCTTCCACTGCCAAAGATYATTGTACAGGACCTATTAGATGAGTATTAGACAATGTAGGAT